CCCTCCGCTACCAGGGTCGGCGGTCTCAGGCAGGGAGAAGGGCTCATCTCCACCCCATCAGGGGACAGCCTTCACCCACCCTGCCCGAGAACAGCTGCTGGCGCGCTCGAGAAGTTCGTCCCCTAATCCACGTTACATGAAGAACAGGCGACTGGTGCCAACACCACCTGCCCGAGTGCAAACCAGCAACTGCACTCCGTAATTCCGCTTTCAAGGCCAACAGCCTCCAGCATCCTTTGGTGCCAGAAAGACCCGAGCTCCTAAGTTAACACACACACCTACTACAAAATGGATCAACAGAAGACAATATAATACAAATTGTGTCAGTGCAATGCAATTTTATTTGTGCAATACAAAGTGTAACAAAATGTAGAATCAAAGCTTGGCCTATTTAATCACAGCTTGCGGAGTCTCCATCTTTAAGAGATGATACAGTTTAGGATGGACAACACAGTTACCTACAGCTGTGAAGTAACTGATAGTTACTTCAGGGGGGGTAAGACAGCAGGCAACAAAGATTTGGCTTATTTGGACCAACAATGAAGTAAAGGATAATTTTGCTTTGTTAACTGAGGTTTCCCTGGTGTAATTTTGAGGACCTTTTAGATCAAAATTTCAAGTGGAAATTCATTTTAATGTACAAAGTGAATCCAAAGCGAAGTGACATCGTCACAGTTCTGTCTCTTGCTGTAGGGCATCAGGACTTTGAAGCGGCTGATCCACATGCACAGCAGTCCATTTCATAAAGCATTGATGGTCTCTAGAGTGCTTTTACTCCAAGGTGTGCCAGAGCTTTCATATGTATTACACACTCATCATTGGCCCTGCAAAGCAGCTAACCAAGTGCAGCTCTGCAGAGCTACTCAAGCTTGAAACAAAAAGGTTTTGGGCCTTGATCAGAACAAGTTTCTGTTTTGAAAGTGAACTAAGCGATTTCTTTCTGCATGCTCTCTCTGGCTAACCCACAACATCTGCAATAACGAAACGTGTACCTCAAACAGGTTTAAAAAATTAGCTTCCCATCTCTCAAGTCAGCAATGATTAATTTTATCTTGTGTTGTGTCACGAGATGTTTCTAAAGATATCTGCCTTACGTGGGGCAGTTCTTACGAATATGAAGAGGTTACAACACAAACTTAACTGATTTTTTTTTTTTAGGCCACAATAAACCGTATCTATTAAGAACAAACGTGGCTGCAGATAAAAGTCAAATGTCAGAAACAAGTCAACCAGTTTGGAAAAAAGGCTTTAAAACCCTATACAAAGATATGAGGGAGGCAAAAATGAAAACCAGAATCCATGGTGTAACTTGCCAAACTTTTTATCTAGATGCTATTAATATACCACCTATATATACACACAACTCATGTATATTGAATAATAAGCTGAACACCACAAACTCACCTGAAGGTATAAGAGCTTTCAAGCCTAATCCTACATGTTTTGGTGAGGCTTTTCTGCTTATCACACAAGTAATACTTATGCCAGCCTTGTCCCCAGCACTACCGAGCTTCTATTACAGTGGCAGAGGCCGCTCTAGTTCTGCAGTACTGCTAGGGTGGTGTCCCACTGCAGCAGAACAGTTCAGCTGCAGCTGAAAAAAATGCAGGTATTAAACCTCCATCACACCCAGCCTTCCAAACCAAGGCTGCCCTGGAGTTAACCATGTGCATGCAAATAAAATACTAAATTCAAATCTGCATAATTGCTAGCTTGCACGAAGAGGAAAATTTTCATAGCACCTCAGCAGCAGAAGATACTCAGAATAGGGCATGACTGGATTTAACACAGAAACAACAAAATATATCCATCCTCTGCCCTCTCTCTCTCTCTTTTTTTTTTTTTTGATAGTGAGGAGGAGAAAGGAATTGCCTCATCTCTGCTAAACTAGCCTGGAAGACGAGAGACTAGCATGCCTTTTCCTTTCCAGCAAGATCATCTTTAGTCAGCAGAAAACCACCCAGTTCAAAAGGTATTCTAAAACAACGCCATAAAGTTCTCTCCTCACTCCACAGCATGAGTACCCGTAGGTGATTCAGCACAGCAAATGACAGCATGCCACACGAGTTCATTTCTTAGCAGACTGCCTGCTCACATCACATAAGGAAGTGAGTGCTTTCAGACTGCCAGCAAGAGGAGGATCAGATCTTTTTTGTCCCAAGAATTTCTAGGTTAAGGTATTTACAATATTACCCATGTTACAATTACATGTGCCTTTAAAGGCATGCAAAAAGAAGATATAACACTGCCTTTAGTTATAGATATAGGGTTTAAGTTAGGTGAAATGATGCAGAAGATTCAAACTACTCCCTATTTCTTAAAAGAAAATACATATTTACATAAGAGTACACAGGGGTCCCAACAATGCATCTTAACAGGTCTGTGCAGCAGATCAGATCCAGCCCATGGGATCACTGATCACCTTCAGATTTCCAAAGAGCTGATGTGAACTTGATCAACAGCTATGTATTTAATTAGCAGAATGTTTATTTTGTGATCTCAACTCAAAGGTCAATATTCCAATCTAAGCTTCAGGAAAGCTCTCCATAGGAACACATCTGACAATGTCTGTGACTCAATATTCCCTTTCTTACCCGTTGTACTGCATGCTGTATTTATGAATCAGGACATTTATGGAGATGAGTTTCACAGAACTTAACAAAACCTAATCATCACTGGGAATTATAGACATCATTCACACTTTACCTGGAGAAATAATGTATCGAAGGAAGACAGCAAAACAAGACAGCATGCAGCATTTATTATTTTATTGCACTTATTTTTGTACATATTATCAGTTATTTCCACACTACTTTATTTACACAGAATCCGGATTCTGCTACTTTAATCATTCACTACAACTTAAATAATATTATCAGTGAATTGGCTGCTTTATCAGTTAAACTGGTAACCAGGATATCAGAGGACTCAAGCTTTTATCAATATTAACTTTGAGATGAAAGCCAGCTGCAAGCAGATTGCCCTACAGGTTAACCATCATTACTGATTCTCTTGTCTATATCTGTCCTCATCATAATGGAGCAGTTCTCATGCCATGTTCTCCTCCATTCCTCCCAACACCTCCACCTCATCAGCTGAGAGTAGGCATGACTAAATTAGCCCAATTGAGCTGGTATGATTCATAGTGGGAGGACACTGCTTCTCCCTTAGCCCCAATACAAAGCCAGTAACCTTTAAACAGCCATCAGGAATTGCCACTTCTCAGCTTTGGCAAAAATTCATAGTATCTATCATACATCACTGTTTGAATTTGCTGTTGTGCTTTTGCTTCTTTTTTTTTTTTAAATCATTAGCAATTTACAACAGTGATTATGAACAAGTACCATTCTCTTCTAAAACATACAAGACTTCACACAGTTTATAGAAAAGTTACTTTTATTATAAAGCATGGAAGCTCAACACCTGTAGGTAGCTTATACAGTGTCCTAATGAATGACACCATTTGTTCTCCTTTCAGTTAAAAAGGCAATTCATATAAAAATACATAAATATTTATACACACCCAACACAAGTTAATATTGCATTCAATATGCATTGCAAGTACAGCAGACAACTGGTGAAACGCTGAGTTACTATTCTCCTCCCTCTCTCATCCCATATTGGAAGTTTACCAAAAAGTTATGAAAGGTATGCCTTGCAGATCTGACTCTTCCGATTTCTAAATTTAATCCTCTTTCCTTTTCTGACGTCCCCTCCCACACATACATACACGACCATACAGCTACCAGTAACATTTGCTGCCCAGATAATGCCAACAGACTGAATCAGCCACAGATGACCACCTGCTTCAGCTCAGCCTGCTCCACTGCCCTCTCTTCTGCCTGTTCTCAAGAAAGTTTCTGTGCAACAGCATTTCAATACTATTCTAATAACACAAGACTCAGGTAAACACTGACATGTTTTGCTCTGAGTGTTAAGCAACATTCAAGTTGTACACAGGTTTAGGCTTTGAATGATGTAAAGAATGCTGCGGAGTCCCTTTTCACCCCCAGCTTATTCTGAGGCAAGTTTTCCCTTCAGCTAATTCCATGCAATTCCTGATTCTATCAGTAAAGCTGCACAGCATCAAACTAGAATCCTTTACTAGTTCTTCCTCTCCTTCACCGAAAAGGTGAAATCACCAACTCACACTGCATCTAGACCAGCTAGCTCTGTACTGCCAAGATCCAGCCAACTTAAATACCTCTACACAACTAAAGCAAATATATGAGACTGAGTTTGCTTGCCTATGCTTCCAATCAAACAAAATCCTAAGAGACCAAGAGTCACTTTTATTACCACAAGAAAAAGCTGCAACTTTTCTTATATTGCTGGAAAAAACATCATCATTCAGGATAAAGGCCAAACTTTACATCCTGACATGAAAGCATAATACTCTAAAATACTTGGGTTTAGTTACCAGTCCCAAGAAATCAAGCCAGTTTGATGCCTGAAACACCTTTTATAAGATTTCTCTTGGGCTTTTGCTTTCTGAAAAGTCCTTGTAAACATTTTTGTTGATCAATGTATTTTGTTTCCAACTCTGACAGTCCTGACAGCTATTTTCCTTCTCAATAGTCCTTACACTTGCAACAACTACGTAAGAACACCAAACGTAAGTAGCTACTTTACAAACTTCACCTTTGAGATACTGCAAAGCCACTGAAATGAAAGACAGAAAGCAGTAACAATTTTTGCAGGTGGTCTCAGTTTCGGAGGCACTACAATTGCACACACACGCACAAACGACCCTCTCCCTTTCCAATAATAAGTCAAGCCTAAAAGATCACACATTTATTTCCACCATTACAACAGTCTTGCCTTGTTCACAGCAGTGAACAGTTCCTACTTACATATCCCAACAATAACAGAGGGTGTGTGTTCCAGTCGCAAGTAGAAGAGAAGATTGTAAAAATTGAAACAGATAAGAGAGAAGCATAAGATGACAGAGATCCATTCTTGTAGTCTCTTTCCTGTTGGAAAAAAAAGGAAAAAAACATGTTTTACTTTTATCTGAGGGGACATTTTAAAGTCTGAAATAATACAGACAGACTATTCTACTGCCTGGATGACTCACTCCGTTTGTCTGACAGGGAACTGAAACAGAAACTTATTTATCCATGGGAGCTGTACGTATTTTGTTAAATGACATTCCTCTTCCCCAAGCCACTACTAACCTCTTCCCTCTGCCCTTGCCCAAGTAACAGGGACAAATTAGACATCATCTCATTGTCCTAGTTTCCTTTCCCCTGTGGTTGCTGGCATAATGTTCCTCTGCATCACATCTTTTTTCATATTTGCATTTCATTCAATATTCAGTGTTGCTGGTATGGCTGAATCTGGGAGCCAATTTCTGGTCTCAGATGCCCTGCAGTTAAATCACCTTATGATCTGTAACATTTAAAATCTCAGAGCTTGTAAATAAAGCTGTTGTACTAACAGGAAAAAGCATCATCCTGTATTTGGTGGCCCTAGAACTGCCTTCCTAACATCGCAAGTATACTTCTTAAGCTTGCTTACTTAACCCCTGCTCTTGTCTTTGCCTTCCTGCTCCCAGGAAGAAGGCTGCGACCTCTCAGCCATTCTGAGATGGCAAGAGACAGAATAAGCAAAGAGAAAGAACTGGCACAAATTCTCTCTTGCTGTACTTTGCTGTACCTTGCTGTACTACTTCGTGCCTCTACAAAAACCTCATTTATTGCCTATAAAAAGAGAACAGACACATCAGAGTATGGTAACGCTTTGAATATTCAGATCAGCAGCAGAAAGCTTCTGCCTGTCAAGCACTGCTAGATCCTCACAAGGCACTGATGCTGAGAGCAAGGGAACGTTCAGTGCAAGACCCGTACGGATTAAGGCATCAGAAACAGACCTTTAATGCCTAAATCCAGGAAGGAGATCTGAGCTGCCACCTTGGCCCAGAAGGGCCCTGGCTGTAGTTAGCTCTTAACACGCTCAGCAGCAGACAGGTCAGTCTTCACCTATTTTAGGGGGCCAGTCAGCACAGCTGTCTCTTGCCCAGGGCTTCCCAGAGCAGTTAACCCTGCAGTCCATCCCCCACTCCCTCCTGCAGCCTTATACACTTTGCACCACTCGAGTTTGAGGCAAAGCAACATGCAGGGGAACAATCAGGAAGGACTACACGCGAGGTGCACATCCTCCCACAGGAGCAGAGGCATACTCACATGTCTGGCATGTGTTCAAGACAGGACCTTTCTTCCTACTACTCCTCTGTGTTGACCTACTGCCTGATCAAATTTCTCCTCCTAAATGCTAAATCAAGTCCTCCTTCTCAACTATACCATGCAATGAAAAGGAAACTAGGAACATCAAAGGAGGATCAGTATTATCCCCAATGTGCCTACAATGCAATATTTTAAAGAAGTGTGAACAAAGACTTTTACAGTTCAGAGTTTTGTTCTAGAAACACCATGAGTATATAAATTAACATCCTCCGCGGTAGCAGAGGAGAGAATTGTAAAATTAAATTAAGACACAAGAACAAGCATATTTCAAGACAGCATCAGGTCACAATGTGGGAGATTCTATAAAGAGATCCCTGGAGTAACGAAAGTAAGAGTTAATTAATTAACACTCACTTCCTGCATGAGAAACCCACAGCCTGATTGGAGGACCTAAGTGGGCAGGTCCTCACAGAACAATTAGCTGACTGCAGGAAACACTAGGCTCCTTACTAGCAAGTCCCACGAGTTCAGTTTATGCAAACACCACTGTACTCTGAACATAGGGATGCCAAGACGACTGGCTGGAGATATCTGAGTCGAGAAATGCAGAGGCTGGGAAGGTCAATCAGTCAAAGGAGCAGAGTCAGCACCAATAACTTGGGTTTAAAGAGCACTCCACTTTAAAAGTACGTCCCACATGAAGGACTAAGGCACCAAAGCCACAAAGTACATGCTTCAAGAGAGTCATATTGACTCTGCACAATTACGTGTGACCCCACTCATGAGAATTCAGTATTTCCACATCACGTGCTTCCACCGTAACACATACTCTGACAATGTTTATGTAAGTTATTTATGTAATGCCACAAAAAAATTGCACATCTATTATCACAGCTCACTATCACTATGTGTATACTACTTCACAGACTTCCCTGAAAGTTCCATCTACAGCTAAAGGTAAGGGTGGCAAATTGTTTGGGGAGGAAAATCTTCTCCTTATGAGCCAGAGCACAATGCAATAGTACGGTTAGTGACTGCTCTTCTGTAAAGCACAAGAATCAGTCACAGCCTGGATCAGAACTGCATATCTAGATCAGCTGAAAGACGTCACACACCACCTTCTCTCAAGGCAAGGAAGTGATGACCAATACAAGCTGAAATGGGCAGACTTGCCCTGAACAGTCTAGAAAACTGAAACCAACTAATGCCTTTGATCTCCTATCATTACTTGGCTCTGTGCAAATAAGAACACCTGCTTTTCCAGTAATTGCCTTGAATATGCAAGCTAAGCTGTTCAGCTGACCTGCTGGACACTGCGAGATGCTGAAAATGTGTCTTCCCTTTCCTAATCCTTCACCTGTGAAGGAATTCAATGGCAAGGCTACCTAGCATTGCTCACACTGTGAGCCAAAAAACAAGTGACGCATTTTATCGTAAGGAGCTTCCAGTTATTTCCATAGCATAACCGAATAGCTGCTGTCACTTCGTTGAGCTCTGACAAAGAGCAAGCTTCAGGAAGACAAGACCAAAACAAAGATTCAAACACCCCTCCGCCCCTTCCCGAGGCGCCAGGACTGGGCACCTCAGAGCAGCTCACCGGGTAAGTGTTCCGAAGCGAAAGCTTGTCGCTACCTTGCTCAGCAACCAAACCTGTGCGCCTGCTTTTGGACGGAAAGGTTAACTTTCTGCCCGTACGTTTTTAAAGGGGAAAGCATTCCTTCCGGGCCGTTTCTACTTTGACGACCTCCACGCCGGCAGCGCGGCCCGTCTCTTAGACCCGCTTTAAGGACCCACGCTCCCCAGCTCTGCCCAGGCCGAGAGGAGGGCGGGCGGGCGACACACCGACGCCGGGCCGCCAGCGTGCGGCATCCCACCGCCGACAGCCCCGGGCC